ATTTTTCTAGAGGAATCCAAATATGCCCTTGTTTTCCACTGAAATGGCCTCTAACTCAAAAACCGTGTTTGAATCTCAAACTTTCAAGAACACCAAATTGTCATAAAAACCATCTTTTTTGTACTAGAATCCATGTAGGAGATGAGAGCAATGTAATGCAACAACAATAATGCAAGAAAGACTCATAAATCATGAGTTATGGTGAATTCTTTATACCTCCGAAAATGACTCTTGTGAGCTTCAATGGAGCATGAATTTCTTTGGAAAATCATGTAGAAACATTCAACAATCCGTGGTAGAGGTATTAGGATGAAGGAGAATGCTTGAATTGGTGAAGAAAATGAAAATCAATTTTCACTTGGAGCTTACTTTTCATGTTACTACAACCATGGTGTTGCACTAAGAACTTCTCAAAAATTGATGGAAAAATTCTATGGAGTATATTGAATATATTTGCAATGAAAGAATGGACAAAAATGGGAGAAAGAAAGAATTGAAAAAAAAGTGGAAATTCAAAGTATGTGAAAGTGTGGGAAAATGAAAAAAATCATGGGAGAATTTTTTTGCCTTGATCTTTGGTTTTTATATGCCTTGCATCATAAGGAATGCTTAAAGCCCATAATAGTCATTTGTTTCTAAGCCCAAGCCCAATATCCATTATGCTACTTAGTTGTGAAGAAAACTTGAAATAGGTCATGATAAAAGCTCCAAATGAAAAAAAGTAATGTTGCCATTGTCTTTAGAATTTGATTTCTAGTCAAAAAAATGTAGTCACTTGCCATGTTTAGGACTTATAACTCGAAAATCACAATTTCCCTCTTTGATTCATTTAAAATCCTTCATTTTTTTAGGCCATTTTGAATGACTTTTGATATAAGCTCATTCAATCCAACATGAATTCACATTAACCTAAAAACATCATTTTAAGCACATTCCATGTTGAACAATTTTTCATTTGAGGAGTGGAAGATGGAGATTTTGGCACATGCTTGAAAATGACCTATAATCACAAATGCCCAAAATACCCATGGATTGCCAAGATCATAACTTGAGTTCTATACATCCCCTTGAGGACTTCTAGTACTCTATGGAAAGATAAGATCAAGATATACAACTATTATGTTGGCCAAGAATCCATTTGAAAACTCCTTGAAGGGAAAAAGTTGCTTGGAAGTCAAGTGACTTTCACAGATAAATTTCAGTGTCCTCTGGTGACCTGTAATTTGCAAGAACCATAACTTGAGTTCTATAAATCCTCTTGACGACTTCTAGTACTCAAATTAAAGGTATTGAGATGTTATACAAGTTTCATGTTGGCCAAAGATCCATTTGAAACTTGTATTTTGACTTACGTGGCTTTGAAGTTAGGCACTAAACAGGGGATTTTACAATAAAACCCTAATTTAGCAACTTCCCACATTCTTGATCTTCTTTGCTTAACCTTGGAACAACATCACACATGTATCAACATACCAATTCATGCATCCCATGATCTCAAGGTAGGCTTTGATGCTTTCCCACTACTCAATTGAACTAGGGTTGACCCAGATGAAACCCTAGTTGACTGCACTTCAAATGTGGCTCTCGTACTTGAATCAATGACTTGTCTCAGCTTAAATAAGGCCCTCTAGACATCCCATGAGATCCATACACACCTCACATTCCCATTCCATGCTTCTCATCCCCATGATGATTCTCAACATTCCTCAAGATAGGAGCAAAACCCACATGTAGGCACTCAAGCTTCTCCAGACTTCAAATCTCTTCTTGATGACTTGAATGACTTCTCAATCTTAGATAACACCTCTTTATAGGCTCTTATCTTGATAGACACCTTTGATCCCCTGTTGGAGGCATGCTATGCTATGATGTGCAAATGATTAGACTGTGTACATGATGTAACTATGCAAATGAAATGCAATGAAACACAAATCAGGCAAGAAAAGGTTGAGCAAATTTTGGGGTGCAACATGTAGTAGACTTGGTATTTGTTTTGAGCTAGAAGCATGGTGGCGTGAGTTCAACACCCATGGGGGACCCTCTCTATTATTTTTATCTTTATTTTCTTGTTCTCTTTGTAAACCCAAATGTCCATAACTTCTTTATTTTTTATCATTTTGAATCCATTATTTTTTTCTATTTTCTCATGATAATGTATACTTTCTGTTTGTAAAAAGAAAATACCAAAAATATTTATTTTTGATGCATCTATGAGTGCTTAAAGTGTTGACTTTTTTAGGGTTTCCTTATGGTCCCTTTTGATTCTTTTGGTTGGTTCCTTGATTTTCCTTCCTCACAAAGACTTGTTTGCATCATGTGTATCTTATATGAACCTTTTGTAATGTTGCTACTTGTGTATACTTGTTGTTACTTGATTTTGATGCATTTTTCAAGTGTATTTTTACATGTAAATGTATGTTTCAACTTTGTTCATGCCATGACACTTTTTACTTAATCTCTTGTCTTATCATGTGACTTTCTTCCATGTTTACATGATCTAGATGTGTATATATGCCCTTGTGTTAATCATTCCATGTTTATGAGTTCTTAAACACTTGAAATTTGTTTTGAAAATGACTTTGAATACATGCTTGTATGCTTGAACTCTTGTGTTGTTTCCTACTTGTTTAAGACCGTGATTTAACTCATAATATGTATATTTGGTTGTTACCTACTTGTCTTAACATGTTCAACTTATATCCATGCTTAAATGTCCAAGTAATGTCTTAACTTGTTCACGTGATGTTTGAATTTAAACTTGTCATCTTTAAGTATGTTCACATGCCATCTCTTGTATGATTTCATCATCATTCACTTGTTATTGTTATAAACATGTTCCTTTTGCTCAAATATGCTTGGTTGTTACCTTTACTTATGTTAAATTTTATTCATGATTAAGTGATGTTTTAACTTATACATGTTTACTTTGAACTTTGAATGATACCATGTTAAGCAATGTTTTGACTTATACATGCCTTATTTCATCTTTGAACTTTGTCTTCATCCATGTTTAAGTGTTGTCATAACTTTCACATGTTAGCTTTGAACTTTGTTTTCATCCATGTCTAAGTATTGTTATAAATTTGACATGTTAACTTGTGTTTTGTTTCCATCCATGCTTAAGTGTTGTAATGACTTGTCCATGTTAAAATGTTTAAATTGTATTCATGATTAAGTGTTGTTACAACTTATCCTTACTTGTCTTGTATTCATGATTAAGTGGTGTTAGTAAATTCTAATGCATGCTTGCTTTTGATTATGAACTTAAACTTGTTATCCATGATGCCTTAGTCTTGTTAGAACTATACTTCATGATTGTTTAAACGTTGTAACATCTATGTTTGAATGTATTTACCTTGTTTGTCACCATAATTTGTAACTTCTTTGGAACTTGTGCTTGGTTGTTACCTTATCCTTTATGACTCTGTCAATTCTTTGCTTTAAATATTGTCACATTTATCCTTATGTCTTGGTTGTAACCATGTGTTATATGCTTTATCTCTAAATATCATGTTTGAATGTTACTTTGAATGCTTTGAATTGATATCATGTTTAAATACCATACATGTTCATATCATCCTTTCATCCCATACCTTCTTTAACTTTGTCAAGTTACTCCCCCAAGTGATGTTAGTTTGTTAGCTTCCATCCTTAAGTTTCCTTTTGTTCTTTGATCCAAGGGAAAGTCTCTCTATTGACTCAATGTTATAGGTAGCTTAGTCATACCCATTTCCCCTTTAACCTTGTTAGAGTCATTTAGCATTTCAACTTAGACTTAGGGTAGAACTTACAACTCTTTGACTTTGTTAAGTCAAACAAGTATTAAGGCCTTGACACTTGCCTCCCCATTTGAACTTTAATCATAATCAAGTGTTCATTCATCCTTAGTTAGGTGAACTACAAGTGCTTTGATTTCATCCTTCTCAATGTTAACTAGGAGGTGTAGCTCCCTAGTTGTCAAGATGTGAACGTCATGCCGAAAGTCATTATAAGAGTTTGATATTCGACAAGATAGAGATTGTTGAGTATGACTTATATAAAGACAAGGAAGAAACACAATAATAACACATGAGTTTAATTAATGTGGAAATTCTAAATATATCTTAAACTTAATTGTTTATTTGTGGGTATGTGACTGGAGAGTTATAAGGACGGTAGTCTTTAAAGTACTGGTTCTATAGTCGGATAGATAAATACTGTTGACCAATTACATTAATAAAAATTAATTGTATTTATCATCTTTTATCTTCATTTGTCTATTAACCGTTGTTGTAACATATATAATATAGACTAAATTGAATATTTTTAACTTTCCCCCACAAGTAAAGTAATAATATAAAATAATTTATATATTTTCATCAAAAAATCTTTAAGGAATAATTCAGAATCGAGAGAAAAGTAAAAAAAAAAAAAATGAAAGAGAAATAAAAGAGAAGCAGTTAGATATAAATTTAGAAATAGCTATATATAACTTTTTAAACATTGATTTAGACTAGCTCCTAATAATATATTAAAAGAAACTAGTCCATTATGTTTTTATCATTAAAACTAAATTGCTATTAATTACCTATGTTCTCTTTAGTATTTAATCCAATAATCAAGAATGATCAACTAGTCAATCATCCATCCATTTTCATTTCAAATGTTACAAACCAAAAACAGAAACACCAAAAACAAAAAATCATCAACATATTTTGACTATAGATAGACCACAGCCAGGCGGACATCCAAAAACCGCGCCATCCTTTGCTTTCTTGAATACCCATTTAGCTGGTATCCAAATTACCAAATTGTCCACAAAACTAAACCTATTAATTTTCATCCATGAATTTAAAAATAGCAAAATGAAGTTTAAGACCGTAAAAATCCTATATTAGCAAAAGAATGGTTAGATTTTTCTGTTTTGAAAGGTAATAAAGCCTAACAAATATAAAACCCACAATTTCTCCCACTTAATTCTAACCGGGGCTCTCGCATAACACGAGTCCCCAATCTTCACAATGCGTACGTTCCATTTCTTCATCGCTCTTCTCTTCTTCGTCTTCAGCCTCATCTCCACCACCACCAGCGTCGCTGCCACCGCTGTCGTCGTCGTCGCCGCCGCATCACCCACAACACCAGCGACACAACAAAAACCTTCTCCGTCAGCTTCACGCGGCAAAGGCGGCGGCGGCCGCCGGCGTCGCAATACAGCGAAGTTCTTCGGATTCGTTCGCACAAGCCGCAGCGCGTATCTCCACAACCAAACCGAATTAGCGAAGGAGTTCCTGCACGCGCACAACTGGGTGAGAAAGGAATACAAACTACCTGAATTAGCATGGAGCGAGAATCTCGCGAGCTTCGCGAGGAAATATCTCACGGAAAGGTCCGATGATTGTAAACTGGTTCATTCTTCTGGGAATTACGGGGAGAATTTGTTCTGGGGGAAGAAACTGCATTGGACACCTTCTGATGCGGTTTATTACTGGTACATGGAGAAAGATTCGTTTGATTTCAACACGCTCAAGTGCGAGCCACCACCGAAACTCTGCGAACATTTTACGCAGATGGTTTGGCGGGATTCTGAGCATGTTGGATGCGCGTTGCAGCATTGCAAGAATGAAGGAACTGGAATGCTCATCGCGTGTGAGTATGATCCACCGGGTAATTTTGTTAATGAGAATCCTCTTGTTCATTCTACTTAACCAAATCATGGACCTAATATCAAACTAAGAGACATCAATTATTGTCTTTGTTTCATAATTTAAGGATAACCTAAATATTATTACTAATTATTTGTGGCTCATGTTTATGTTTTTGATGTAAATTATAATAAATTGCATTACAGATATTATGTATATGCTCCTTTTTATGTCTTCTTTTTTATTTTGTAGTTGTTTTTTTTGTAATCTTGTTAATTTGGTTGTACTCTAGTTACCCAGGCAAATTGTACATAACTTGTATAATTCGGTTGGTGTTTTTGAGCTACAATCTACAAGTTAATTAGCTCAAACACTTTGAAAGAATAGATAACATCTTCCATTTTTACTGCTGCTAGTTTGTTTTTAATTCACATTTCTTGCAATCGGGGTAAATGTGTCCTTAATTGTTGAGAATCAAATCAATTTCACGACATGTATAACGGTTTGCGTTGCTTCTGTAATGGATGAATTTTCTGGGTTTTTCTATTCCGTTGTAACTTATTGGCTACACTCATGACTCAACTGTTTCTCTAAAATAATTAATTAATCATCTATATCTATCTATAAAATTAGATAAAGGAAAAAGAGTGGTTTGATCTAGCCTATTTTTTCTATCAAAATAACTCTTAAAAAAAATATTGATTTTCATCCATTTTCAATCTATTTTTTTGTTTTTTAATTTGAGAGCATATTTAGAGCATATATTTATCATCTTGATATTAATTTTAATTACATTAAAGTAATATTTCTTTTAAGGAAACATATACAAGAAAATTCATAAAAAAACCGAAGCGTCAAGGCAAATTAAAAAAAAACGGACAAAGAGGTACTAAATAAATGGACAAACAGAAAGTTTATAACACAAATATTTTCAATTAGAATCAAAATTAAATAAAAATATCCATCTACATTTTGATGTGTGTGCGCATTAAAAATAAGTGGACAAATAGACACAGAAGTGTCATTTTGGATGCTAGTATTATATAGATGTTATAGAGTATAGACAAAAATACTTTAATTAAATGAAAACTGAAACGAATTGAATCCTTCAACTAGGAACTAAACCAATATTTGGGCAATTTAACACATTGTGTGGGAACAAAATTGGTTTATCCCATGTCCCTTAGGTTTTGATGATAACAAAGTATTTAAAGAACAATTGAGTATACTAATGTTTGTTCAAGTTAGCAGAACCATCGACTAAAATTTCACATAGAATCTAAGTATTGGTTTTGACTATGAACATTCAATGAGAAACATGAAAATCAGAATTTGATGGATCAGAAGCTGAAGACCAGACTCGAAAGAAGTCATCTTCTGAAGAGGTCATCATCTGAAGGAGTCACCCTCGAAAGATCACACTTTGGAGAAGTCTGCCCCTGATGATCAGAACCTGAGCTAGTCAAATCGCAAAGACAAATGTGAAACTGATAGGTTACTGTTCATCTCTGAACATACTTTGTCACGTGATGAACTAAGCTCTATTTTATTTTCTTTATAGAGTCAGCTGGAATTCAACTGCTAATTCCTTTTGTAGAAAATGGTTTTCAAGCTAGCATTCACCTAATCTGACAATTTGGTGAATCATCCCAATGTCTCTTTTGAAGCTTCTCAAAGGACTCTACTATGTTGCATTTTCAACGACTCTTTTTCTTATCTATTTAATGAGCTAAAAGACTTGAAGAGTACATTCCAATATACAACAATTGACATACAAAGAGAAGTTACTCTCTCAAGATAAAAGCACAAACTAAACTTAGGATTTCTTATCCTTGTATATCTTAGAAATCCTTAAGTTTTAAAAGAGTCTTTTTTTGCATTGTATTCTTTATACACCTTTAATTTATATCAATTGTATTTTCCCAACAATCATTTTTCTTCTAGGTAGATTGTTAGAAGTCTCTTGCTTATGTGTTTAAGAAAAGGAAGTCTCTTACTTGTGTGCTTGAGCAAAGAAGTCTTTTGTTTTAGTGTTTGAGCAAAGAAAGTCTCTTACTTTAGTGTTTGAGCAAAGGAAGTCGCTTGCTTGTGTGCTTTAGCAAAGAAGTCTTTTACTTGTGTGCTTAAGCAAAGGAAGCATCTTGCTTTTGTACTTGAGAAAATTGTAATCTTTTGTGATTATAGTGAAAATATTTTGTAAGTACAATGGAACTGGATTACTCTCGAGTTGTGAGATGAACCAAGATAGCCCTGTGTGTTATTCTTTTTTCTTTCATTTTATATCTGCTTCCTACCTTTGACTGAATCAGATTTTACAACCTTGTGTTTAGAATCTAACTTAAGAGTTTAAAAATAAAGAAAAATTTACTTTAGGTGGATATGAGGTTTGTTTGGGTGAGGTGGAAAATTTGTGGAGAAGGTTTAGGTTGTTTGTTGGAATGGATGGTTGCTTTGAGTGATGAAGAAGTTTTTTGTATTATGTTGCGGTTGATGAATGGAAGGGAGATGGTTATATAAAGGAGAATTGAAAAAAAATTGGAGGACATCGTCAAGGGTTCGTTTTCGTACCGTTGTTGTGGAATGGAAAAAAGGCAAAGTTATTGTTTCCAAGTGAGGGCCACCTCTTGTGTAGTACTGCGCCTTTTTTGATTTTGTATTGAGAAACTATTTTTGTGCGTCTTGTGTCATTTTCATTTACGTTACCGTACCTATTGTGACGTGGTTTCTCTTGTGAAAATTTGTTTTTGTCGTATTTGCAGGTTTGTATTATGGAATGGAAGGTGGTTTCACGTGACTGCCTGTTATGTGGTGTGTAGTATTTTGGATATTGGTTTTCCTTGCGTGTGTATATTGGCTATTAAGGTTGTATTGGTTTGGTGTGCTTTGTTGTCGTTAGCAACTGATGATGGTGTATGGAATGGCTAGTGTGTATATGTGTGTATTGCGAATTATGGGTTGCTGCAAGTTGTGTGCCGCGTGAGGGTTATGCTTGGCAAGGTTGTGATTTTACTTTTGTACTGTTGTGTGTGTGTGTGTGTGTATGTGTAATGTTGGCATATGGTATGATGTGTACGTAATTGTCAAATGTCATGGCCTGATGGCTGCTGCAGATTGTGTGATATTAAAGATTAAAGAATTGCTCTCTTGTAGAAATTTGTTTCTTCTCTTATTTGATGGGCTAAATATTTTTTATAATTATCTTAGAATGGGCTAATGGTTTTTTTTATTGTACATGATATTTTATGGATTTGTAAATGGGCTTTCACTCTTTTTTTTTTTTGGAATTTGGGAATTATGGACATTTTATGGGATAATAGTACCATGGGCTCTTATTTTTTAATTGCAATTTGCACCTTCATGCGATGAAATGTAACGGGCTTGATTTTGGTAATTAAAGCCTATGAACTTTAGAATGAGTAAAAGCTTTGAATTTGCAATTGCCTTGAATTTTCATGTGGACGCCACTTTTGAAACCAATTGAATGTCTTAAATTCATCATGAAGTTGAAATAGATTGGATTAAAATTCTGAATCAATAAATCGATCTTGAATTAATCCTGAACTAAGAATTAACTGATGCCTTGAATTAGTAAATCCACCTAAACTTTGCCATTTGAATACTGATGAACTTAAAACTTCACTGTGAACTTTCTTGATTCAGAACCATGCCTTGAAATCAGAGAGATTATGAATTAAAATATGAACTGCTTGGTCCAAAACCCTGATTGAAAATGAACTGATTCTTGATGATCTTTAATCATGAAGCACTGATAACTTGACATAGCCTGACAACTTGATCTACCCACAGATAACCTGAATTGGCACATAAACCCTAATTGAAACCTCAGGCACACATCACTTGAATCATGCACACCTTGGCCTTTATCATGAAACAAACTCTTGCTTGACCAAGGTTAGGTCAAACTAGATGAACCTTAATCCATATTGCGCACATTCCAACATATTTGTGGGTTTTTGAATAATGGTTAGTATATGGAAACACAGGTGAAAGTAGTATACAGGTAGGACAAATTTGGGGTATGACAACAATCCAAGAAGACCTTTAAATACAAGTCTTCTCATCCAGAAGAGTTAATTAGTGGAAATGTAGATAGTCCCATAAAGACAAACAAGTTCTGACTTTAGAGAAGTGCATTCAATGTTAGAACTACTCTCCATGAATGAAATCACTTCAGTTGATGAAGCACTATCTAATGATGGTTGGATTATGGCTATGCAAGAAGAGTTAAATCTGTTTCAAAGAAATGATGTCTAGAATATGGTACTCAAATCTTTGTAGAAAAATATTATTGGAACAAAATGGGTATTCAGAAACAAGTTCAATGAGCAAGGAGAAGTGGTAAGAAAAAAGGATATACATGTAGCTCAAGGCTACAGTTAGCAAGAAGGTAAAGATTTCTCTGAAACCTTTGAACCAGTTGCTAGGTTGAAGGCAATCTAATCACTTCTCTCTTATGATATTAACCATGACATTATTTTATACCAAATGATGTTAAAAGTGAATTCGTAAATGGCATAATTTATGAAGAAATGCATGTTAAACACCCATCTGGGTTTGAGGACTCAGTCCACCCATATTATGTTTTAAAATTGAAGAAATCATTATATGGACTCAAACAAGCTCCCAGAGCTTGGTATGAGAGACTGGGTAATTTTTTGTTAGAAAATGGATTTTAGAAAGGGAAAGTAAACACCACACTCTTCAGAAAGACACTTAAGAATGAAATCTTAATTGTCCAAGTCTATGTTGATGATATTATATTTGGTTCAACTAATGCTTTTCCTCGTCAAGAGGTTTCTAAGACAATGTCGACTGAATTTGAAATGAGTATGATGGAAGAACAAAAGTTCTTCCTTGGTATTCAAATTAATTAATGTAAATCGGGAGTCTATGTTCATAAGACTAAGTATACAAAGGAGCTTTTGAAGGAGTTCAAGCTTGATGATTAAACTATCATGAGCACTCCTACGCATCCAACCTGCAACCTAACCAAAGAGGAAAGCAACACTAAAGTGTGTTAGAAGCTATATAGAGGTACAATT